CTCCGGTGTAGTCTGGACGGAGCACAGCTGAACCATAAACAATCATGAGCACTGGCACCTGGAGGAGGGCAGTAAGCAATGTCACTTGGGAGATTAAATTGCTTGACAAAAACAAGGTTCCATATAGACGACACTTTGGCCTCCATGAACCTAGTGGGAAGGTCCACAGGCTGACGCAACGGTACTTGTAGCGTAAGCTAAAGAAGATGATCACCGAAGTACCTAACTTTGAGTTGCGTAGGACATAGACTCTGTGAACCTTCGGGCGTTAAAGTTACACCACACCAGAAACCTGATTGCAGTCTGAGAGCTAGTACAATCACTGGATACATTATCAGGGCTTCTATAAACAACTACAACTTTAAATTTAACCAAGGTAGTGCTAATCACATTCGACGGAGCCATGACCGTTTTGACCACCGAATAAAATAAGCTGATCTTCAAAACATCAAGTTTACAGCTTAAGTAAACAAAGTCGCCAGATCCTTGACGATCAAAGGGACGACTAGACATAAACTGTGCAAAGCCAGCTAGATGTACTTCACGGTCTGTGATAACCTGGGATAAGCATCTTTCAATGAATGCAAGTATGTCGGAACGATACACTTCCGCTTGCAGATCTAACTCATACTTCTTACTCCTGAGGCTACGCGAGTTGGTAAACATCATCTGAAGGAATTCGGTGTGACCAGTCCTAAATCGTGGGCTACCAGCACGGGCTATGCCAGGGCGAAAAGGAATTTTTGACTGACCACCTGAATACCCACTCAATGGCGAAGTGGTAGTTTTGATCACCCCCGATTCTTGAGTTGTTTTCAACTTATCCGTTAGCGGACTATTTGGCTCCCACTAACAATATTACCATCGCGTTTAAACACAAACCCCAATAGTGATTTGCGTGCCTCCGGGGTAGTGAAGGCCACTCACGGTAGGCGTTGTCGAGGATTTGGTGCGCTAATTGGCATGGTTTCCCTTCTAGTCAGATTCCTAACAGTAACACCGTAAGAACTCGGTGGGGAAATCCTTGTCACACAAATTAAACTAACGAAGGCCATCAAAATCGCGAGGCGCGGAAATGATGCTTATGGATTTCACTGCGTTATGGGATATAACGCTATGAAAGAATCTCCACTAACGGGCGTATTGACACTACTGGTTTACGATTTTACACGAACATAACTATTGTTTAGCCGTTGGTGGTAACACTGTTTGCTTCTTCTCAGGGGACGATGAAGCACTTGTCGCTTAGGTTTCTTGTTCTACTTGTAGTACCTCATCATTTTCCGCACATTTTAGCTTGACAGATGGCTTAAGAGAAGTTCCGGTTCTCTTTCTCTTCTGTCTAAGAGGCACCAGGTTCCGTATCTGAGCGCGGGTGAAGAGAAAGCAAAAACGTTAGCAGAGATTGCCCCGCTCCCATCAGCTGTTAGAGCCGACACTTCCAACTGACTAAACTTGTTATCTCAGCATAACCGCTAACCGACTTAAGGAATGACGAAGGCAGTTCCCGTGTTATGTCCCGTGCTCGGGCCATTTTAGCTGAGAGTTTGGTAGAGGGCTTTTGCAATTGCTTTATCCTCGCGCTTCATTCTAGCGGGTTCATAAGCGAGCAATGTAACACCGCTCTTACCAGAGACAAATGTGCTACCATCAACGGGTTCATCAATGTGATCCGCTTCAACCGGGACATCTGACGCGATGGTCGTGCTATAGTTGGGTTACCAGGGCTATTGGGTCTATCGCAATCCCTCAGAGCCCATTTGTCTCGCGATCAAACGTGATGGCCACAGTGACTACATGCTCACTCTTTTCAAGCTAGCATTAAGCGACGCGTGCTCGCTGCCAAGAAGAGTTGGACAGTTTTTCCGGCATACATCACAACTGACAACCACAAATCAAGCTTCCCGTTGCAGAAAAGCATGTTTATTACTCTGCACTTAGGCCGATACAGAGGTGCTTGTAGCAAAAGTTACCAATATCGCACCGCATTCCGCCAGTCTTTTCTGTCACCGGCACAACACAAACATGCACAAACCTGCCTCGAATCTATCAAAACCCAGGAGTAAGTCAATACCAGTATGCTGCGTAGTGGACATAACACAAAAGTTGAAAACAGTGATTAAGAAGCAATGCTCTTTGTAAACCGCACAACTGTTGCTTAAAAACCAGTCAGGAAAATCAGTAATCAGTTAAAATGGGCGCGACATCGATGAGTTACACGAAGCAGGAAAAAGGCGCCAAGAGCTGAAAGTGACATCCAAACAAACAATTTACGAGGGCACCCTACCTAGGGTACAATTTCGTGCAAATAAATAACTATCCAGTTTTTATTGAATCAGGGAAATTTGACAGAAACCATTTTTTCGCGAAATATTCTTACGAATGTAGTTTCCAGTTAGTGTGGCTTCAAAAGGACTTCATTGCAAAAATTTAGGTCACTGCAGATAGCCACAGGGAACTTTAACTCAACTTTTTTGTTGTTCGGTTCCACATAGTGCTAAAGTCAGATATTTGGGTGAAGATCTGATTGGCTTGGAAGATAATCACATTCTAGACATTTGGCCCCTTTCAGCATCGCGAAAATAAAATCCGAGATAAACGGGACAGCTTTCAGTCGAAATAACATATTGTCCAACTTGAAACTTACTAGGGCATCTGACAGCTGTTTGATTACAGACTTGCAAATCCGTTTCTCATGTTAAACGTTCGGCTGATTCAATTTGCACCCCATTCTGCAAATACGCACGCACCGAAACAGTTAGTGTACCTGCACTATTTCGTTGAAAAAGGGATTGCATTAAACCCAATTGGTTTTGTGTGATTGGAAGTAGTGAGAGTTGCGGAACTATCGATCGCCACCAGAAAGCACTATTGTTGCTAGATGATTGGCGACTGGATCAATGTTCACCTATGTTAGGGGGAGAAACGAACTAACGGTCCGGCTTGATACAGTGATGTTGAGCCTACTTGGGAATGGAAGGCTCTTGTTGTCGTAGCTATTAAGACGGAGCTTCGAAGTTGGCGTTATGTTCCGCATGTTGTTGAACTGCTGCTCTGGAGTTTCTCCATGGTGGACATAAGACCGAAACAGACTAAGTTGGTTTGTATATTTATCTGACCAAGGTAGATGTCGAGTATCGGAAACCAATAGATCTCAGAGCGCACAACGTATTCTCAGTGTGGCTAAGACTTCCTTCTCGAGGATTGCATATGGGATATAGAGAGTGACCACTGTTCTGGAGCTAGCTGATGGTCCTATGCTCTTTTGCGTGACCAAGAAGGCTTATCCAGCTCTCCAACTTTGAGGTACTTAAGCCTTCACCTGGATTGGCGACTATTCAAGGTATGTTTCACTGATGCGCTTTGATGTTTGCCGATTATTGATGAGAAGGACGTTGCCCTGATATCAGCAGGTGATGTCAAAATACTGGCTTTAAGGAAAATGCACTCTTCGGATGTGCGATCAAGTTTTGTTGTGATGAGTACTGCTGAGTCAAACTAGGGCCATACTGTGCATTAGGAGGTAAAAAGAAGACGTACACATTTTCAACGAATGTGGTGCGTAATACTTTGATAGAATGCCAATCAGACTGCTTCAGGTCAGTTGGTTACACCGGGGATCATGTATATAATGATTCAGTTAAGGTGCGCACGACATTGTTGTGCCCTCTAGTAGTCGTCTAATTAGCGGTGCGACAGTCGTGACGTCTGGTGTCCGAAGTTAAGACCTACTTGGTAGCTCGAAGTGTTGTTGCTTCAACACCTGCAGCATCGGTTGAACCACTATTGTAGTCTTCATCCGCCCGTAGTTTTACGTGCAGGTGGACTGAACTATGCGAGCTCGGTGTAAATAGCAAACCGTTTCATAGCATACAGTCTTCGTTTTAGGTAAAAGAAGTGCAGGTCCAGTAGACTGTATGAACAGCAGCAAACTGCTTTCACCGTAAGCAAGCATTAATGTTTGCGCACAGCATGTTCAAAGATATGGATTTCAAACTCAATACCTTTATTATGTAATGCCTGGAAGATCCGAAGATTAAGTTCCAGTGATAAGATATTGACTATCTTTTGGACGACTGTTTGTTGGAGGGATATAAACGATATTAAACTATTGGAAATTATAAGCGCACGAACTATTCAAGCAAGACATCTTAGTCAAGCAAAACTGCGTAGTGAAGTAATCTCCAATTTCTCAGCCCCTGGTTACATGCTTATCTGTTAGCATATGGCTGTGCTTTAGGCTGTTTATTTTGTTGCGAAACATGTTAGCATATGGCACGTATTTTTTACAAATCAACTAAAAATATGACCCAAAGTTCCCCGGGAAGTTGGAGATTGGTTCAGCTATCCATAGCGGAAGCAGTTAGTTGCTAATTTGACAAGTCAGATAGGTCAATAGGGTCGAACTGATCAAGCCTCTTTCCAGAGTAAATTGCTATCCAAAAGGACATAGCGTTTTGGCATTTATACACACAGCGGAAATCGCGAAACACACTAAACAACCTGATGCCGACTGCTGTAACCTGTTCTGCATACACCACTCAGTGAACGCATATTTCAGCAATCTTTATGTTTAGCAGTCGGGTCACGGTTTATATCAGAAGATTGTAAATGCACGAGGCTGATCAACTAATAAGTGGTTTCGGTTAATTTGCAATAGTAATCAGCTTCGTATGAAGTTACACTCATGTACTTGAAGCTTGCTGTTAGTTCTGAATTTATTTCTTTGAGGTAGGAAAAATGTACCGTTTTGTGTATCGACACCAGATTAAAATAAAGCTAGCGTTGTTGTCGAAATCACCATGGCCGTTGGAATCAAATTATCACCTGCAGAAGACCGAACGAAGGGTATGGGTCGCAGCAGATACCTTGCTAACCTGGCAGCCATGACAATAAATGTCGACACATGTTATAACAAACTTACCGGGAGAAAAGCAGATTGGAAACCTGGGGATTTTTGGCTGCCAGTGCATCGGTCCAGAATTTGATTGCAGGAAGCAGAAGTTTCTCCTAATTAATAAACACCAAAAATGCAGCGACTTTAACACTCATAGACGATCCACAGGTGAGTAGCTTCTCAGAGTCGAGTAAACTTACCGTTATTGCTGGAAAGTTGGCCAATGATTTGAGTGCATGGGTGTAGTGTACTGCGATCCGCAGGTTACGTGTTCCTGACTCTACCTGTCTGATTGCATGAAACTTTGGTGCGAAATGGTATGTCTGAATGGTGGGAGGATGAAAGGTAACGAACTCCTCTTACCAAATTATGACCAACTGGGGTCCAGCACGGGAGCTCATGCGCCGTAAGTTGACCGGTGCTCCAAATGACACAGAGAACTATGATCCAAGTAGCTGAGCCCAACTTCCATTGACGCCGACATGTCCAACACTGAGTGTACACTGCACCAATGTTATTGAAACCAATCCTGTTCTGCCCGGACAGGATGGAAGTTCGACCCATTGATATCCTTTGCTCACCCGTCATAAAACGACAACACATATGTGGAGATATAGAATAGAAACATTTAAAGTAAGTAGCTCACATTGGATTTACATTATGCACTATTGGCGTGAGCTTTATATTTCATGACCCCACTATAATACCTCCCTCCAGTTGCAAATTTAAGCCTACAGAAACTGCGTGATGTCCGAACTACACAGAGAGGCTGATAAACCTAGCCAACTGGATCAATTACCTTGAAAAGCGTGTTATGCACCACAGACAATTGGGGACGCGGTATATGTTCCACCTCGTAAATTGTTACGATCTTACTTTGCCTAATTACTGGAGAGCCCGTGAAAGTAATCAAAATCTTGCCTACTGGCCCATAGTTTCAGCCAAGGTTTTAACGGCTGTGCTTAGCAACGATTACGAATCCAGATGCTGACCACAACAGATGAACTATCGTGGATACGAGGGAACGGATATTGGGCAAAAAACTATTACCTAACAGGTCTAAACGAATGTTTGAAATGAGAAGCATTTAGTGCCATAAGCTGGATATATTTCTTTTATTGCTGTTTTCACTACTCCTTATGCAATAAACTACATGCCACACAGTTGGCCTTTTCACGAAATTCCCGTGAAGAAGGAGGAAATGTCGCTATCGGAATTGCATAGAGATAACTGAGCACACAGCTTATTTGCGCCGTGTTGTTACCTAATGAAAGCTTGTCAACCTTTGCGACACAGGTTGTTAAATTAATCACCGAATATCCTCTACTTTGTCGGCACAGCTAAGGCACCCATTATACGATTTAGAAAAGATCCCAGTTGCCAACACATATAGATACTGAATTAAGTTCAAGAATATTCAAACTAGCTATATTGTCTGACTGAACTATTCTGATGTCTTTTTGGATTGCTATTGTAACCAAGTCTCAAGGAATGATAGTATCTAATACTGTTGCTCATAAGATTAATTGGCATAGGTAGATATTATTCCCTGTATATTCATAGTATCTTTTGCTTAAATAGGTTTGAGTTGGGACTTGCTGTTGCTATAATAGGCTCTACGCGACCGAGGTTTCTGCCTCGGCTTCAAGGAATAAATTAGAACTCAGACCGCTTGAGCACGCTCTACAAAAACCATTTTATTAATTCTTAGTGGTTAGTGCCCTCTAGTGATTCTTTATACTCCAGTGATGTCACTAAACCAGCGCCGTAATCCTACAAATCACGGAGAAGTGACTACAATAAGCTGTCGACAAGCATTTGCACGACAGTTGGCCGAAGATGCGTAGAAACCACCAGACAGTTTTCCTAGTTTGTCTGAACTACATTCCTGTTTGTTCATTCACTAGCACTTGTTATTTATGGCTCCATATACACCAAATACATTGATGAATAGTAAAAATTTCGGAGAAATCGTCAGTACAGTGTTACTAATAAACAGAAGAACTAGACGCGGCCGCTGCCCAGAACATTCTGATTCTCCGTAGCTGTACTGAAGCATGTAGAACAGACGACCACGAACTGCAATCCTCAGTCACTAGTACGGAACAGAGCTGCCCATACGCCTCAACAAAATATCCGTTTCCATAGTTTTGGAACCCGGGAATAATACCGTGCTGCTACTGGCCACGCGGAGCCTTGAAAATTCTAGACGATTGGCGTCGGAGTCACCATAGCTGGTATTGATTCCGATTCAAATAACTTTGTGCATCCCGCAACTTGACGGTCTACGCTAGATTTTGAGGAGAGCTGTGCTACTCAAACGTTGTCCGAGCAATGGTGGTTACCACCACCTTTTACGAAACCTAACGATAGTTTGCCGGTTCCTCATGGCGGCGGCCTCCAAAGACCCCGTTACTCCTACACACTGCGTTCAAGTGGTAAAACCCCTTGTCCATTCAAATAACTCTGAAAGTAATGCAACGGAGGTTCTGTTATCTGCGTAACTATCAACTTCAGCATTTTGGGAGGATGTTACTTTTTCTAATTGGGCAGTGTTTGCGCAGCGAAAATAACCTCGCAAAAATACAAGTCGTGATGAAAGGTTGGATTCTGGTGTCAGGACAGTGAGCGCAGAAGTGGAAGACGGGTTAGCAAAGCGAACGACCGTTGAGGCACATTGACGCTGTTAAGTGTTAGTCGCTTCTTTGATCCTAGGTGATCGCCGTATTTACAGACACTTGGCAGATGGTAATTTAAGTTGCCTTGCATTCAAATGCAATGCATCTGAATGCTACACGAGATCCTATAGCAAATGCATTCGGCACTAAGCAGACAAGCAACGTATTCCTTTAGTGATGTTCCCTTTCATCTCTGCCTTAGCTGTAAGCCGAATGAGGAAGGCTCGGTGTGCAAAGACAAATAGAGCGCAACCTTCGGTTGTCCCGACCCTAAGGTCATTGCCTCACTGCATGTAATTCGATCTGTAATACTTCGGATCTATAGTTGAGGTATCCTTAGTTTTTGTAGTGATGTTGATGAGACGTTAGGGACTGCATACATTTACTAATGGTTATCTTGATGGTCGGAGTGCTCGAAACTGCCGAGATCAACGAGCACTCTGACCACCAACTGAACAATCTGAGTTATTAATTTTTGCTTCCAAATCACAACGACTATCTTCTTGTTACGCTGTTCAACTTCATTTCACCAGCTGTGTTCTATTCCACTTCTGGTAGTGAATCTGTTAGTTAATGACAGTTGGAAACCTGCTACTCCTTTTCAGCCATATTGACATTTGACGTGGGCCGCATGGAAAGCACTGTACACATCTGCTGTTATCATTATCGTTTGGTCCTCAGTAACCCATCATCAGTGCAATAAAACACAAATTTATTTCGACCCCCTGTGATTACCAACTAAATTCGCTAAAAGCTCTTTTAACCAGAGATAAAGCTGGTGGCTACCCATTAACCACTTTGTCTTGGTACAGTGATTTAACGTACTTTATGTGTGTCATATGTAATACAAGACAATTTTACAAAAGTATATATGTAGAGCAGATCTGATTAATGGTAACTTACAATTTCCTAATCAGCGGCCTTAACATAAGCAAACGATAGAGCTTTAGTATTTATACTTTTGATTCAGGTGATAGGCTCTAACTGGGTCACCTGCTTTGCGGAATTAGATGAGCTATTATCTCCGACGGAATGCGCAGCGAACGAGGTCTGAAGTCACGAGGTTTAACGAAATCTCTGAGTTTTTAGTTTAACCTACCTGCCTCGCAAACATAAGTGGAGTACCTTAGTCATTGGTGTTTTTTAGTATCGATTCCACCGGTTGAACAAATCGGTCGAAAGATTTGGACGGGGATCATGTAATTTGGACTAGTTTACCCATCGATGGTTGTAGACCTATAGCGCAATAAAAGCAACTTATCTCCTATTGAAATTCAGCTCCAGGATTTCAGGTGTTTAGATACTAGACAGTGGATCACGGAAATTTCTGCATATCAGAGACACAGTGCGAATACGAATTTCAAGATATGCATGCATTTCATATCGTATCTTCAGTGCCGAATACGATAACTGAAAACTAAAAGCAACTGTGGGACTATCAACTTATATACAAACAAAGAAAAACGGAAAACTTTTCTTTTCTTCTGGGCACACCTGAAGCCTAACGATAGTTGCTTTTAAACACAAAGCATCGAGCTAATCTGCCTTATTAAAATAGCCTCAGCAACACGAAGTAAAAGGGAATTGTTTTGCAGTAGCAGAGCTTTAAATTACTTGCTTACCTCGATCCGGTAACTTGTGGTCAGTGAGTGACTGCTGATCGAAGATGCGGCTGCAGCTTGATGCCTATCAAGAGAAATTCCCATTATGAGTGCTAATTCGTATGTAACTGCGAAGCTTGCCACAGGCGCATAAGCGACAGCATGTTTAGTTCGCAAATCAAGGAGCATGATTCGAAGTGGATCTAATACGCGACGGCGCAACAAGCATGCCCAGCTCCGACTACGACTTAACACAGACCACCAGCATCTGCGATCGGCAGATGCTTATTGACCTCAACTTACCGGATCACCGTAAGCACCTGTTTAAAATTTATGCTACGTCAAACCAATTCCCGTCACCTACGTTTCGCTGAGGCTGTTGCAATAAGTCCGATCAAACCGGTGCTGCGTACCCAAAAGCAACTGTTGGTAAGCCACAGGATGCCATCGACGTAAGCACAAGATTTCCGTTTCGCCTTTGTTTGTTTGTAAGGTGACACCACCACCGTTGTATTTACTTCAAGTTGTCGTTTTCGACACTGAAGATACGATGCGAAATGTATGCACATGCTGAAATGCACTTGTACAATGTGCTTTACAAATGGCTGAGGCGAACAAATTGTTTTTAATATTTTCTTCCATAGGATCACTTGTTCTAGCAGTTCAGAGGCTCAATCAGACCGAAAACAGCTCACCCAGCTAGTTGCGTCCAAAACTCTCAGATAAGTGCAACTATTCTGCAATTGGTCGTTCTATGTGGCTTCGTGCAGAAAACAGCTCTTCGTTGATTTTCTTTTTGTGATGAAAAAGTTCAAAGGACCAGAAGCCGACGGGTTTGTTCGGTCAAGCTGTTACGCACCATGGGAACTGTCTCGGACATTGGGGTATCCAACTTTGGCGCTTTGTGAATAACACTGCTTTGTACGTGGACCGTCGCTGCAACAAACTAAACGTTTCCTCTGTCTAACTATTTCGTGGTCAAATACAGGTGGGATAATTTGAAGCACTGATACCTCGAATTGGTTGCTCAGCTGTTGCTTGACTCACAGCGCTGATGGTGCCAGCTCGCATGGTGGCGAAACATATTGCAGCGATTTTTTCAAGCTAGGCAAATCCAACAACAACTTTACAATGAGTTATTTCGTCAAATCGTGGTCTGGAAGCATATTCGCTCCACATCCGATGATGAGATTTGTCGTGTCTTCAAAATAACATCCTGGTGAATAGACGTCCTTGTCTGCTCTTCTGGTCCGGTTATTAAAGTTACTGGATTTATGAAATACAC